TATACAGCGATTTGAACTGGCCCTATCTAAGTATTAGGTCTATCTAAGGGTGGTCAGGTGATGCGACGGGGATATTCGCAAACACCGGGTGCTTGAGTCTCATAGTCAAAATAAAGCGTGTCAGTGTACGGGCTAGTGAAAGCGTACTTGTTTCGCTGTTTCATAGAACGAGGAAGCACTGATAAAGGAGTGCGACGTTGCCACTTTGTGCATTGTAAGATGGCGGTCGTTGCAGCGAGCGATGCACACAATGCGTTTTTTTCACGACTATGAAACGACCACGTGACGCCAGTCGAACCACACTAAAAGTCGATAACAATGAAATCATGATTTATTAAGAAACTGCTTTGATTTCTCAATGTTTGTTGAATCTTATAAAGGAACACCTAATCATGAAAAATAAAATACCTAAAACAGTTATACTTTACGAATACCATTACCTATTAATGAAATTAGGTTTGAAATTTTGAGTAAACAGACAACTGGATGGAACTGTCTCCAATTAAAATTTAATACGATTAGGAATATGATATCACCTGACCACAGTTAAGCTACCAATAAATCTTAAAAGCAGTTAATATTAACATCATATTACTTGTTACTAAGACACATAATCAAGTAGAACAGTTGCAAAAACTTATAAAATGCAGTGAAATTACTAACTTTGATACGCAAGTACTTTCACTTTTATTGTTATAATATATAGATTTTCTCTTTAAATAACCATATGAATATAATAACTTATATCATTAGTCATCTAAATATTTCTTGTTTAAGTATATAATCTAAGCTAAAATTATAATTTTCAATAATTTAAATTGTTAATGAATATTTTTTACATCAAACAGAAAATGAAAGTACGCAAAAAGGACAGATATTACAATTTATTAACTAACGAATAAACGAACGTAAGTATATTTGTAAAAATCTGACAAACACCTAACATACTGTATAAAGTCAAAATATTCAAAATATTGTTCTTTAATTCTTAACTTTCAACATGGAGATTAGAATTGTACTTATTTATTGCAGTTTTCCCTTGGTTGTGACGCTATGCGCCGACAGACGTATGTCGAATTTGTAAATCAAAAGCACGAAAAAACAACTAACGCGATTCTACTCTTGATAACAAACATTAGACTGCTCTCTTTGAAAACAAATAATAACCCATAAATTGAGAAAACTACTGATACTTATTTATTAAAAATTAACCAAGTTTACTTCATCTGGTTGTTTTCCAATTACAGAGCATAATGCGACTCAATGGCGCACAATGCCGAATTATGCTGATGCATTATTGGAACGTGAATTAGTTTTCAAATGCACCAGCAGAGTGTGCTAAGTTCAGTGTTGAAAAAAAAAGTCAATGTTTGTACCTTCATCCATACTTATATTTATTTTTTTAACAGTTTGAATGAACTTCGATTATTTAAAAAAAACTATTTAATGAAACGAAAGCTTTAATAATTTTTCCACACTAAATAATATTACTTACGATAACATATAAATAAAACATTTCGATCAATGCCAACTTAAAGAAAAAACACTTGTTAATTTTCTGTCACTGAGTTGGTACGATTGCACACATCACACGAAAGCATTACTTTTGAGAGTGCTCGATTGTGCGAAGCGTTGCTGTAGTTGAAACACTCAACGCTAAGCAATAATAATGCTGTAATTGGAAAACTACCTTTGTCTGCGTTATTATTCTAAGCTGTAGTCATAGTGCGAAGTTTGTAAGAAGTAAGTATAAAGTAAAGGTTGTTTGTTTTTATAAGTGGAATAGCACTAAAAAGTTAAGAATAAAAACTTGTAGTAAAATCGTCACCGGCGACCGGTGGGCGGCGTCACCGCATACCACTGATTTAGAATAATAGAAGCTTATTAAAAACGTAGGTACTACTTCAGCATTTGAATTTATACTAAACCGTTTTCACCGTATCTTTCAATACCTTAGACCGAATTCATATTAAGAGTTTTTGATTTATCAAAAACTAACACGTCAAAACTCATTGTGCGACGATTTACGTTTATTACTCCATGTAAATTAATGCCATTAACTTAGTAATTTTTCTCAATCATGCTTGGAAATGTGAGCTTTATTTTGACAACCTTTGTTGAGATAAATCATAATTGCTGTACTGGCCCCATACATGCGAGCAGCGGCCGGCAAAAGTTGTATGAAAATCCATATGTATGTCGTGTTTAGCGGTCAAATAAATTATATAGTAAACTCATATCTGTCGTGTAATTTAAAATGGAACGATCTTTTACTCCGAAACATGGCAACCAAGGAGGTAACTTTTCAAATGTTTTATTTAAATTTCGAACTGGATTCGAAAAAGAAAGCTGTTTAGAAAAAAAAACAAACGAATACTAATACGGGAAAAGTGTTGTTCGTCAACTAGGTACCACTTCGTTTTCCGCGCATTGTTTGTAAAAAGCTTTGTCCACAAGTAGGCATTGATAGACTGACGTGTTTGTGCCGCGGCTTCGCTACGGCCCACATTTACACGTTCGTCCATCAATGCCTCTTTTGCTGGCCGCTGAAGTAATGCACTATATAATATTTATATTCGGCATTAAATGTCGCATAGATCACCGTTCGTGAATATCGACCGAAGTTAGAGATGTTATTTTTTATTAACTAGCAAGTTTTTGTATATGCCAATAGGTGGAGCTGTAAAACACCATTTATCATTTGTGAGAAATTCCTCTAAATTCAGCGCATATATCAGAGCAATATGTCTATATAGTAATCACCGTTAACATAGCGAATGACGTATCTATGCAACAGTAAAGAAACTTACGAAAAATGCAGATAAATTAGCCGACGACGCGGGTCACGCCCGCGTTAAAATTGTACTTATGGAAAAACCTCGAATACTGGCACAGTACTCATAGAGGCTAGTTTACTATGAATGCTACCTATAAATACATATACACATATAATACTCATTAAAACAATGAATCCTTAAATTGTAATCGGAAAATATTATTATCCAGTCAATTCCACAACAACTATTAAAAATGTTATCATAATAATTAAATAATGAAGCGTACATCAAAAACGTGGATAAAAAATTATTGCGGGAAATAAGATAAGAAACAGGGGTGCATTAAAACCGTACATCTAACCCATCAGGCCAACTAGCTAGCTAATAGAGAAGCGAAATAAAAATGACAATAAATTAATTACGTATACTTTTATAATACAAATTAAAAAATGAGAATTCATTCAAAATACATCAAAGTAAAGAAATAAAAATTATTCTAAATAATTGAATAACAAAATTGAAGCGTGCGTCAAAATATTCGTGTTAGTCAAAAAAAGCATAGAGAGATTATAAGATAGATTTCAATCCGCAACGATTTCGTTAGTTGAGTAGACAAAAGCATTAGCACTTAATGTATACATGTGATTCATATTAAGAAGAGTGCGCCTCCGAATGTACATTCATAGAGTAAGATTCAAAAACACATATTTGTTCGGCATAAACTTCTATAACGTTTACAGACTGTAGAATTTTGTAAAACCAGTATCGATTCTCTAATGAATTGTACAATTACATCAATACAAACCATTGTTATTCGTTGTAGAAATTTACGCTCTCTTTACATAATACAAATGGGTAGCCGAATGATTCTTTATTTGCACACCAAGTGTAATTTGTACGATATTAAACACTTGCTGCGTAAAAATATTTACGTAAGCGATAACGGTTTAAAATTGTTCCTAAGCTAAACATAAAATATGAATACGGTATTATTAATTTATTATACTGTAAGAAATATTCGTAACTTCTATCGAGTAATGACATCATATTGTATAATATATTTGATTATTAATATATTTTAGTTTATAATCGCATTCGGCTCACTAAATATTAATCAATAATGCTAATTATTGTAAATATGAAACGTCTAAGAAAATTAGATCAGTCTAATTGTCTGCTTTTAACTTGATTCCAATGCTTTCATTACTGCTGGCTTTACTTGTTATTCGCACAAAAAATATAGCAAATAATAAATTATTTAGAGCTAGAGTATCCATATAAACTGATATATTAGTCAAAATTAAAATTGATAAAATAAAAAACATAAGTTGGTGTTGCAGGTGGGTTGAGTTTATGAAAAACTAATTGATTTCCGTAGGAAATTAACTAATTGAACGATTTATATAAATACTCAGTTAATTAATAGTAAAAGGTGGAGATATAAAACCGCAGCACAAAACAGAATTTCGTCGTTTATCAAAAGAAACAAAAAAAATCAAGATCAAGTTCCAACTAGCCAATATAAAAAAAACACTTAGGATAAAGGAAAGAACAATTTCTCAAAAATCATTACCAACAACAAAACATAATGAACAATAATAATACTTGGGGTGATTTCGGGACTATCATTAGTTTCATTGTTTTATCATTGTTTATTAAAAACTAAACCTTAATAATATCAGCTACGTAAAAAGAACGGCATAAATATTTAAATACAATAAAAAGTAATATATTTCTGTCATTTGTTGCGTTATGTCTTCATGTTGTGCTATGTATCACGCTATCTTTGCGATTCTAGCTTCCTGAAGTTACGCTGAAATGTATTTCAAACAGACAAGTAGTTCTTTGTTTCAATTTAAAAACTTAAAATAAGAAAGTGTAATAAACACATTTTTTTATTCAATTCAGAGTAATGGAAGCTAGAAGGGTAAAGTTGGCGAAGTTACCCTTATTATACTGCCATCTATCGTGAAGTTGCAGAACTATATACGCGCAGACACCTTTGCTGTAAATACTGCGATAGTAGCGACATCTACTTAGTACACCGGCAAAGCTACGTAAAGTTTTTTTAAACATTTGGATGTTGAAAGCTGGGTGTTTGGAAGCTGCCTTTACGTATATCCAACGCGTATTGTGCGGACTTCACAATCAATCGCAGCTCACCATTTTGATATCAATCAGCAATGTTATAATTTAACTACAGTTTACTCTTTCACGGATAAGGCTTATAATGTACACTAAGTATAATATAGTTAGACACCACAATAATTTCAAATATACGATGATTGCATTACGAGATATCTTGAATTCAACTATACCTAGTCAGACCTATTCGAACAAGTGACTTCAAAAATCCCTTAATACAGCCATGTGATGTTTATACTTAGATGATGGAAAACATGGATATTTTATTTACCTGATGGTAAAGAATGCAGGTGCTCCTGCTAAAGTATTACTTCAAGTCTGCCGCGGACAAAAATTTCCAAACTTAGCTAACAAACGGGGGATTAATATGAGACAGCATAGTTATTGGAATACACGTGGCTACATCCTGTAGACTGGCTGCTAATTTCCAAATCGAAAGTCGCTCCACATAAATTATATGTAAGCAAAATTTTTTTAACCCTTAAAAATACCTTGCGGCCTTTCGGGTTACTTCGACAGCCAGTCAACAGGATAGAACATCGATAGATTTCAAACGCCGCGCACTAGCTCTTACAAGCATGGCAATAAGGGTGATATATTACAATTTATTATGTGTATATGGGTGTTTGCGTGTGTAGTATGAAGTGTCTCGCCTTCGCGAGGTTAATATTTGAGGTATCACTGCGATTGCGGGTCGCACTGGAGCAGCCGTACGATGGACGGGTCACTTTTAGCGCCCTCTATGAACTCCTCTAGGGAGAGTTTTCCGTCTTTGTTCCGATCCATTTGTCGGAATATTTTGTCGGTCCTCTTCTCTGGTGTAGACTCGTCCTCGGGCATCTTCATGACCGACCCAACCATTTTGTAGATTGCCTGGAATCACAAATAAATTTCATCATTATCAGACTATTAATATCACAGGCCTTCCCTGTGTATGGAATAGGGAAATCAATCGGGCCGTAACCCAACACACAGACCCAGTGCAGATTGGTGGGTGCTAGCGTCTGCAGATGCTGCTAGGACCAACGGCTTAACGTGCCTTCCGCAGCACCTTGCTGCGGAAGGCACGTTAAGTCGTTGGTCCCCACATCTAGTATGTTGTCCTGAAACTTAATTATGAATTTACTTTCATAACGTTTTAATACGTGATGTTATCCTAAAAGTAAGAACCTATTTAAGATACCCTGATCTTTAATAATAATAGATCAAAAATGTCATGTTCGTTTTACTTAAACCACAAGAATGTCTTTGTTGCCAAAATATTAGACAAACAATTATGACCGGGCCCATTGTGAGAATGGAATATTTAGATTTATACCAGTGAACAAAACGTACTAACAACATTTGAGAAGTTGAGTCTCTGCTTCTCATAAATTTATAGCAGAAGTATAACAGAAGACAGAAGCACAAACAGTATCGAAAAATCACCACATAGCAACATAACAGAAACACAAATTGCGGAAATCTATATAAGTGGGTCACTCAGAAAGTTTTGAGCAACTAAAAAACTAACTTCTATGAAAAATTTTTTTTTATTAAATTTTTTCAAAGAACTCTCCAGCCAGCCTCTATACAAAGTTTCATGCGTCTGAACCTCAAATCATTTTTTCCAGTCCTCCGCAGACACCTCTTCCACGGCTTCCAAAACGCTGCTAGCGCTTCTTCTGGCGATGAAAACTATATCCCTTTGAGCTGATTTTTTATTTTAGGGAATAAAAAGTTGTCACACAGAGCAAAATCAGGACTGTAAGGAGGGTGTCCCAAGACTCTGACTGGTGTGGAGTCCAGGAAGTCCTTCTCTTTGATTGCAGAGAGGCGGGCGCGTTGTGAAAAAGGACCCCGCGGAGCCCGGTGTGAGGTCGCTCGCATTGCAGAAAAAACTTCTGGCACTCATTTTGTGCTATACCATTCGGCGTTAATGCTGATTCTCGAAGTGGAATTGAAATTAGGTACCCAATCAAAATTAAGAAACTAGCGATCAAAATTTTCCCTGCGCTCCTCTATCGCTTTACTTTCGCAGGCGTTGGTTCATTTTGAAACAGCCAAACTGTCGACTGACGCTTTATTTCTTGATCGTTTTGATAAATCCAAGATTCGTCACCTGTCACAATATCGTAAACGCGCTGTGACGAGCCTGCATCAAATTTTTGTATCATATCACTGCACCAATCCACACGGGCCTGCCTTTCAGCTTCGGTGAGATTGTGCGGCACCCAGCGGGAAACTATCCTCCTTACGCAAAGGTGCTCGTGAAAAATCTTGTGAACACTTCCTGAACCAACCTGCAGAGTATGCTGGATCTCTTCGTACGTAATTCGTTTGTTTTCTTGATTTTTTTATTTTCACTTTCTTCGGTGACAGTCGTCGTAGGACCACCACTCCTTTGTTCATCCCCCAAAGTAAGACGACCGCGTTTGAACTCGCTACACCAGCGGTAGATGGTTGCTTTTGTAGGTCCTTCATCCATAAAAGCAGTTCGAAATCGAACAAATGACTCATCAGGTTTTAAGCCCCATTTAAAATCGTAAAAAATCATAGCACGAACATGTTCTCGATGCAGATAATTTTTTTAATGAGACAAGAAAGAATTAATTGGTTGTCGAAAAAATGCGGAGGGAAATTTGAAAATCGAACAGTGGTATTTAATTTTTAAATAAAGTATTAAACATTTGAAAGAAGAAATAGCAATTATAGTAATAATGTATATTTTTAATCATGTAATAGGCTAGTTGACCCTTTTTGGAAAAAGGTTTTAAATGGTTAATAAATGTTCTATTAGACCGAAAAAAATGTATTGTATTTTTTTTAAACCTAGAAAGCTACATATCTTTAATTTTAAAATAGACTTTTCATGGACATACAAAAACGCTGTCGGCCATTTTAGTCTATACATTATCTATGCTATGACGTGAACTGTGGTAAACAAAAACTCGTAAACACGTAGAAAATTACTTTTAACTGAGTTTATAATAAAAAAAAAACATGATTTCTAATAAATACCACGAAAAATAAAGTTAAAAATTATCATTACTGTATTGTACGAGAATATAAAAACACATCCTTGAAGACTCCAGGAAAGCTGTGGATTAAAGTGCCGAAAGAAATTAACCTACGCAACTTTATTACACTTATTCATATGTTGTGTCAGTTTTATGTTTATTACTACATTGTAATACTAAATGCACTGTATTTACATAGATGCCTTGTCGTTTCTCTGCTCCGCAGAGCAGAAATCTGGGTTTAGTGCAACAAATTCACCAACCATCAATGCGTCAATTCTTGGCAGATTTGTGCTTTCTGCTTTCACAAAGCCGGCATCCATAATTAGTTTTGTCAAAAAAAACTAAGTTTACTGTTTTTTTCTTTCCTAAAGTTAAAAGTGTTTTAAGATAAAATAGTCAGACGAAAGAATCCACCTACAGTAACACGCGATTGACATTTAGTTGTTTACCACATGAGACGTCAAAATCATGGCGGACGTGGCGAACAGCGTTTTTAGTGTTTAAAAAATATAGACTAAAAATATTTTTTAAAATTAAATTTCTACAGCAATCTTCTGCTTTTATGAAGTGAAATCGATATATTAAGGTGCCTTAGAGTAAATACTTTAAGAAATAAACATTTATTTAATACAATTCGACATGAGTAAACTAGCCTATTGCTTGATGTTTGAATCTAAAGAAAATATACCCTGTCAGGGCCACGGTAGCATAATTGGTCAGTGCATTCGCCCGGATAGCGAAGGGTGCGGATTCGTGTCCCGTCTGCTGCCTGGTCCACGATGATTTTTTTCTAGTTATATATTCTTTAGATTTAAACATCAAGCAGTTACATGCTAAAAAAAATGGGTGCGTGTACTTATGTAGGCGCGTGAGAAGTTATCCTTCTTTGGGATCGTTTAAAATTAGTTTTTAATTGCATGCAAATAATTAATTACAATAAATTAATAAAAAGTCTGGAAAAGGACACAGTCAATAAAGTTCAGTTTTAATTTGAAAAAATAAATAAATAATCAAAATATTCAATTAAAATCGCTACTGAATATAATTTATTAGAACATATGTGATTTGCACTTGTATGAAACTCAAACACGTATTCTGAATATACAAACTAGAAACATGTGGATAAATATTATAAATATGAATACCTATAACTGTTACTAGATTACAAAAAATAAAGATGTGGTTTTTGGTTCTACTACACCAATGGTCAAGAGATGGCGCTGTAGTCTCCTGAATCGCGCTTTGGTTCCGTTGTTCCAGATTAATAAATACTTTTGATATTATAAATATGAATACCTATAACTGTTACTTTATTACAAAAAACAAAGATGTGGTTTTTGGTTCTACTACACCAATGGTCAAGAGATGGCGCTGTAGTCTCCTGAATCGCGCTTTGGTTCCGTTGTTCCAGATTAATAAATACTTTTGATAGGCCTTCACAATGCAGTCGTTAGCACCCACTAAATAGAGATTCTATTTCTATTTTGTTGGTAGATTTTCTTAATGTGCGGTAAACACAAAAGTAACAGCATGAAGTTGGTCGCTGAAGCGACCAACTTCATGCTGTTAATTTTTGTGATACAGTGATGCGCGCGCATCTTAAAATTTCACTCTCATAATTTTTTCATAACGCGCCTAAAGAAGTATAACTTCAAAAATAAAAATTATAATTATAATTACTATTTCTTCTTTCACATGTTTAATACTTGTAAAAGTATTCATTTGACATTGTGGGTTACCTATTGTCACAAACGCTCTCGAAACGTAACCGTGAAAGTACTAGAGATCGAATTTGCCAGATCACCGCGGGTCGCGATAGAGGTCGAGTAAGGCGGCATTCTAAAATGAGCCTTATGCAGTGCGCCATAAGGGAGAAAGTGCAACGACATCTGCACTTGTTTACAAGTTATGCGTTTTACCTGCGTAGGTATAAGTAGGTATTTCGTACTCGCGGGTGCTAGGTAATTCTCAATTTAACAGGTACTTTCTAGAATGCGTCGATCGGCGTATATAAGCGCGATTGGCGCCGCGCAGAGACAGTTGAGTTTCAACAGCGCGAGCGAATCCAAAGGCGATCAAAGTGCAACAAAAGTGTTCAAGTGAGATTGTTTAGAGACTTGTATAGTGAAATACAGTGTTTAGTGAGTGTTTTGTAATTAACATTGTGTGTTAATTGTTATGAACTGTGTGGTGAATAAAGAACTGTCTAGCGTGAACTGGCATATAATTTCGAACCCCATCCCGACACGTAACACTATAATGCGAAGAGATGGCGCTGCCTTGCAGCTTAAGAATGGCTAGAAGAATTTCGACGCGGTAGCATAATTGGTCAGTGCATTCGCCCGCATAGCGAAGGGTGCGGGTTCGAGTCTAGTCCGTGTGGAATTTTTTCTAGTTATATTTTCTTAAGATTTAAACATCAAGCAGTTAAATGCTTAAAAAAATAACTTGAATAAAGATATATTGATTTCTGAACACACAGTAAGGACACTGCTAATGAATCACAGCAATTCACAATAATAAGAGGCTTTTAGCCTGAACACAATGACACCACATAACACCAGCTGGGTCCAAGGTGATGTCGGTAATTATAAATGAAACGTTGACAACCGTTCAAAGTGTACTTTGAATGACATACACCTTACGCGTGTAATTATGTTACTCTAGTTATTTCTGTCAACGTCTAATAAAGGCGTAGAGGGGATTTACATAGATTCCCAACGAGGGCGGTACCGCCCCCAGGTGGCCGCTGAAACTTTTTGTGTGGGCGCTAGCGGGTCCAAAGGCAAATGAGAGGCCTTATGTCAATCAAGGGAGCGGTCGCGGCGTACTTCCCTAATATGAAATTTAATATAATAAAATATTTTAAAA